TTAGATTGCGTGGCGATTACTGCTCAGAGTGCATATCCGCGCATATTAATCTTAACCCGCGCCGGGCCGGGGGGTGATTGAACACCCCCCTGCGGTTTTTCGCAGATATCTGAAAAACGGCGGCGCGGAGCGCCGCCGTTTTTAGCACACCTGTTGGGGCATCTTTTCCGCACAAGTTGTGCAAATTTCAGACTCAGGTCACCCTAGGTCAGGTCACCAGGTCACGCCGCCAAAAGTGACCTCACCTCAGAAAAAATAAGAATGCTCGTCATAGCTACACCGATTGATCGATTGCCTTGAAACTTTCAGCGATTGATAAGAGCAACAATATCTATAAAATGTATATCTCGGAGTTTTGATATCGGTGACCTAAGGTCAGGTCAATTTTGCGAACTCTCCATTATAAGTCAATGGGAGAAAATTGAAAAGCGTCTGTTTTGCACGAACGCTATTCTAGACACTCTCAAACATCGAGATGTAGGTAAAATTGACACACTGAACCGGAAAATGACAACTCTGACCCTTGGTTATGTCCCCGAGGTCATCTCAGGTCACGAACAGAATCTAACAGTTTTTCGCTAATAACTTCTGATAGAGGTGTGCTAGAGCGCTGAAAACGCCTTAAATGTGTTTGGCTCGACGTTGCGGATCGACTGATATGCAACATGACCTTTTCCGGTCAGGTCATGACCTTAACCTGAGGTCAAATTTTCAAGTTGACCTTTTAAGGCCAAATTATAGTTCATTCGACGGGTCTCGACGAGAGGAACACGATGCTGGCAAAAGTAATGTCATGGCTCTTTTGAGTCAAAAGTTATTGCCGAAAAAAACGCTTTTCGTAAAAACGGCTATTTTTGGAGTTTTTGCCCTCTGGAGGCTAAACCGTTGACCTGAGGTCAAATCTGAGAACATAACTCAGAAAGGTCTGTAAAAGGGTTATCGAATGCGCTTTTCTGCGGCGATGTAGCTCTATCGGTTCCCGAGATAGCCGTTGGCAGTTTCCAAAATGTTGAAATAGTCAACATTTTACCTTTGGTGACCTCTGGTGACCTGACCTTTGACCTGACCCAAAAAATGACTGAAGTGTTTTCGTCCTTATTTTGGACGTTCTTTCGATTGCCGCTTACCGCGTGTCGCTACGTGGCCCAGGGGCTGAGTTATAAGGGGGGTGTTCAGACACCCCCCCGGCCCGGCGCGGAATCTCAGAGCACCGTCCCGGCGCGGGTTAACATTTACAACATTCATACATTCACTCACGTGAAATCACAGACAAAAAAAACTTCAGAACAGCCCCCACCCTCCCACTACCCCTTTGGTCAGCGACGATGCGTTGATTCCCCGTCAACTATCGCGGCTGTACCTAACAGGGCAAAGTGAGCGGGAGGCAGCCCCGTTCACTCAGCCTTTCCTTCTGTGAGATTTTTTTTTGGGGGGGGGGCTGAATATATCTGCAACATTAATATGTAGAGTGTAGACGTCATGTTTGACCGAACCGACCAGTTTCCAGATCTACTGTCTAGATACCACTAACCCTCGCCCCGCTGGGGGGCCAATTTGGCCCCTCTGTGGTTTTCCCAGAGAGGCAAGAAAACGGCGGCGCGCAGCGCCGCCAAATTTTCAGTACCTTCCCGGGCATCAATTTGACACCTTCACACAAACTTTCAAGTCTTAGGTCACCTTAGGTCAGGAACTAATGAGGTCAAACTGAGGTCATGTTCGAGCAAAAATGCGCAAAAAACATGAAATCTTGAAACGCTCACAAAAGCTACAGCTACCAAGCAATTAAAAGTTCTTTATATGGTCATGTAGACAAAATAAAACTGCTGTCTGCTACAAAACTGCTGTCTCGGATTTCAAAAATTTTGAGATTTTGACCCCCAAAAATTAAAAAGTTGATTTTGTTTTAGAAAAACGCAAAAAAATCCCAAAAAATTTCCGAATTTGGAAAAACGGAATACATGTGATAGTCCCTGCGCTCTTCCTTATGCATAGGTACCAAATTTTAGATCGATACCTCCTTTTTTGGCCAGGTTATACCGAAAAACCTGTTCAAAATTGATGACGTCAAATATTTTAACTCAATTTTTAGCAATTCTAGACCACGTAGCACAAAACAAAGACCATCTTTGAACCCCCCCCCCCCCCGTGACAAGCTGCATCGAATCAATACCAATTTTACGCAAAAATACCAACTTTGAAATTTGACCTAACTTGACCTTACCTTGACCTTACATTGACCTGACCTTCTCCAGAACATAATATAAACTGACCCCAAGGGCTACCTGACCTACATAATCGAATTTGGCATATAAAATGGACCATAAAACATGCATCGCATGATATTTTCATATTGTGACCCTCAGTGACCTGACCTCTGTGACCTGACCTGGTATCAGTGACCTCAGATAGATAGATAGTGTTTGACGAACAATATACCATCGATGATTTTCAATGAAATGCATTTTACTCGATTTTACAACGCATTTCTTAAAATGCCTGTAAACGGTGAAAATTCGACATTTGACCTGACCTGTGACGTCATCGGTTTGACCTAGGTCAACGAAATTTGGTCACTGTTGGGTTCCCTATTGGGGATATCCAACACTGTTTGCTGCTTGTCGCTATGTTGCGTGGTTCTCGAGATCTTAGGGGGGGGGGGGGGGGCGGTTGCTCGGCAGACCCAACGGGGCGCGGGCTAAGTCGGCTCCATTTAAAGGTAGTGTGCCAGCTTTCCTGGACCGTATGGAGTTAATGGCCCAGATAAGGAGAACCGGATTTTTAGAACTTATCCATACCTTCAAAACTCATGGAAACGTCTTAAATTCTTCAAATTTTGAGTACCCCAGTGCGAAATTCGCCCCGACGGGTTGTCGGTCGTACCCCAATCACATTTCACACCACTATGAACAATAAATGCACACACTGAAATCGCTATTACCGATAGGCTCATCCAATCAAGTTTTGATAAACCCGTTCATCATCATCTCCTGCGGTTTCGAACACGCCTGTTAGGTGGTGCGGTAGACCGCGCCCAAAGCCAGGGCCCCGGTAACGTGAGGTAGCCGAGTCGGGGCAGCGTGCGTTGACCCAAGCCGGGGCCGCGCGTCCTCCCGGTGTCATGTGATAGCCCGGGGCTGCCCGCGGGGATGCGGTAGACCGCGCCCAAAGCTGCGGCCCCGGCTTGGGTCAGCGCACGCTGCCCCGACTCGGCTACCTCACGTTACCGGGGCCCTGGCTTTGGGCGCGGCTTCTGCTCATACTTTGTGGTGCGGTGGTGGTGCGTCGGGCCGCGCGCTCTGACTTCGGCCAAGAAAAATGCGTCAGCTGATCATTGTCATTTCTGCCACTTGCGTGTGGTGAAATGGGGTCATAACTTAAGAGACGGCTTTTTCATATCAATTATTTTACATAAAATCATATTTCAAACCATAAATAATGTTCGACAGCCAAATAAAAGAAACAATACCAATACAGGCTTACAGTTTAAGGCTCGACATTGTGTTGTCTACGATTAGACAGCTGATAACTCATTCCCGTACGTCGTAACTCTATAATGACCTTTGCTTATTGTCACATGTGCGCCGCATTCGCGATTGTTGCCGACGCCTGTTTGCAGGTTAGCCCACTACAGTTGTTATACATATCGAAAAACCGATAAACTTTTAGGCGAAAAAGGCACTATTCCAGGCCCATTTTTGATTTTCTTTGCGATATTAGGTAAAAACAGAAGCTTCTTATCCTAGGAAAAATAAAATGGGAAATCTTTCAAAGGTGGCACACTACCTTTAACTCATGCCAGCTCAGGATTATCAAGTTCCTGGTGATCGGTCAGTGCAGGATTAACGAGTATCGGCCAGCTCAAATAAGTCGTTTTCACGACGGGTTATCAGGCGAACGCTTACGCACCAATGTTGAGTCATTGACCAACTCTGCACCAAATCTCTTTTTTTTAACAACTTTGTATATTCATATGGTGAAATGCTTTCAGTGTTTTAATCGAAAATGATGCATAGGCGCGGGAACCAGGGGGCAGTGGGGACAGCTTGCCCCCACAACTCTGGGGCCGTGGGGGCGGTGCCCCCACAACTTTGAGACGAAATATCGTACTTTTTATGCAGATGTTTTCTTTTTTATTGTTGAAAAAGTCAAGAGATGAAAAATAAGTGCCCTAAAACCGGTGAGAAAACTAGATTTGGGAGTACCCTAGGTTGACCTCTATTATGGTGTGCCCCCCAGTCTGAAAGTAGCTCCCGCGCCCCTGTAATAATGTGCTAATTTGAAAATCAGATATACCTTTAAGCAACTGTGCAACAGAAACTGGTAATTTCTAAGAAACGACACGAACCTAATTTGACCACATTTCCACCAAATCTGCACCAACTATGAACCAAACGTGTATGGCTATCATGAAAAAGGCTATTAGCCGTTTTCACGACGGCCATCTAGTACAAATTTCGTGCACATCTGGTGTAGATTAGGTGCAGATTTGGTCAAGTTAGGTTCAGTGTGTCTCTTAGTAGCTATCAGCTAGGGTTGTACTAATTGCTTATATGCATGCTTTATTATATAATCAGATAGCATCATCAATAAAAAGACTGAAATAAATTCATAAAATAAAGATATTTGCTGTAAAAGAGATTAGGTGCAGATGTGGTCAAAGACTCAAATTAGGTGCACTCGCTGGATAGCCCGTCGTGAAAACGGCTATTATCGAACTCCCGGGGATTAGCCGGTTTTAGGATCGGTCAGCTCCAGCATTATCGAGCTCCGGAGGATCGGCCAGCTCTACACAGATGAGCTCGTGCATCCATCAGTCAACTCTTAACCGGAATGTCACAGACTCCTCTCTGCTCGCCTCGGCCGCCACTGACATGTAAAGTGTTTATATGACCTCGAACCGAGCAGAGGGCGGTGCGTCAGCGTGGCGCGGGCTGTGGGCGGCAGTCTGCCTTATACTCGTACCCACACGGCGACCACCTCTGGCATTCGCGCACCGCCAGTGTCGGAGGTCCAAGGCTACATGCGAGCAGCGCTGGTGCTCAAGGGCACGGCTCTGCAGGCTCGCAACAGATCGCCGAGGCCGACCTGAAGACGACCAGAAGGGAGGACAGAATATTTTAGACGGGGAAAGCCACTTGATATTTTGCTGAATGACTGTAAGAATGTGATACTTTTTCCTTTTGCCTACTATAGAAATGCAACAGAGACAGAGACAGAGACAGAGATAGAGACAGAGAGAGAGAGAGAGAGAGAGAGAGAGAGAGAGAGAGAGAGAGAGAGAGAGAGAGAGAGAGAGAGAGAGAGAGAGAGAGAGAGAGAGAGAGAGAGACAGAGACAGAGAGAGAGAGGGGGAGAGAAGCGAGAGTACAGATGAAATTGAATATTTTGAATAATTGAACTTTAAAGTGCATTTGGAGTTAAACCATTTGGACTGCTATGGTGTGTGCCGTATCAAATAGCTCTCCCCTTTCCTGGCCGGTCGAGCGCCGCCTGTGAAAAAAGGTAGCCACGTCTGTGCTTCGCCCTGTTCCGTGCGCTATCAGGCCCAGCAGCGTTCATACGGCTGCGTGAGTCACAGGGCACCGCAACGTCCGCGGTGGAACGCCCGAGGGTGCGGTACTGCGTACTTTACGCCGGCAATCCGACCCCGATGGCGCTGCAAAGTGCAACTGCAGAAACCCTTGCGGTGACATCTTTGATGAAGGAAAGCTAAAAAAAACTGAAAACTAATCGATTTCCTTTCATGTCATCTCATTTTAGTGAGATAGCTAATAGCGTTAAAAGTTATAGGGGCTCATGGTGCCGGTGTATAGGACGGCTGAAAGGGACTGAGGAAAGAGGCGATGGGGAGCGCCATCCACCAGCCAGCACCGCCCACGTCTAAATGCCACTTGCAGTTGCATCCATAGTTGGGCACCAGGCGCGATCCATTTCGTATGTACATACCTCTGATCCGGGACGTCATCACAATTCCGAGACGGAGGGCCAGTTGCATTATACTTTAACGATAGGCGTTATCACAAGTGTATTCGCGGCCATTGGGGCGACGTAAGAAAAGAAGAAACCAACTGGCCCCAAGAACTTTAAATTATCAGTTAGCATGCACCTTTTCCTTGATGTGTAGAGAATTTACCATTATTTGTTACAGAAAATTGCATTTAAAATCTTCTATTTATGCTTTTTTCATCGTTTGCACAATATGTTCTTTTACTAAGCTAGAAACACTAATTAGAAATAGTTCCCGCATCATCAAGAACAATAGGGAAGGCTTGAAGTGAATAAAATAATTTAAACGGTTTTGTAATCTATGTGAAAGCACTTCTAAAATTGCCTGTAGAAATATTGAAGGCAAAAGTTCAACTTTTTCACAAGACGGATGTCTATAAACCTATTTAACTTGTGACAACTCAGCCGGTATTTCGTCGCCTACAGCCCAGCTTTCCCTAGTGACCGATAGAGGCGCTGCTATCGATGTCCGCCCGTGCCGCCTAACGAAAAGGATAACGGATCAAGCACCGATGAGTGCCGATGCTTTACATAGTTACCGCCTTGCTGGAGAGCCAAGTAAATCTACCGAAACAGGCTGTTTCTCTGGAGCTGGTTGACGATCCGCTTTCTCTGTCAATTTGCTTAGGTAGGTATGTTAGCGATCACTGTCCCCGGTGATTCGGTTAGCAGTTCGGTATCTCGGTGTGGGTCGCTCGTGCCCGTCTTGGTTTAGAAAATGTGCAAAATACAAATCACTAAATGTCTGTTTTTCTGTTGTGACCGATTAACAGACGAACCAAGTTCCGTCACATATGAGGTACCTTTACACTATTTGCATATTGCATAGGATCGGAGGAATAAATTGCAAAAGTCACCGTCTCATAGGAACAGAACAATGAGTTACGGTGTACCCCTCGACTGGAGAAGGGCCATTTAGTTTACAAAAAGGGCGACAAAGCTTGATGCGGCCTGCTATATGGTAGGTATAGACGAGTGTGTAAAAATGCAAGTGTCAGCAAGGCCGTTCCGTCGCTCATTACGTTGTATTCCCATGACTAAGCAGTAAACAGCGAAACGTCGGGAGTTAAAGTGTTTTTTACAACGTAATGAGCGACGGAACGGCCTTGCTGACACTTGCATTTTTACACATCTGTCAAATAATTATAATAGAAGAGTGTGTATGATCTGTCTATTGTTAGAGGTCGTGGAAGCGATTATCAAGGACGAAGTTGAATTTCTCGATGGCAATGATATAATAAACAAATTACAGCATGCTCAGGGAAAGACGATTGGTGATTATCTTGAGGTTATGCACAATGTCAGTCCCGTAGCTCAGTCGGTAGAGCGTTGGACTCCGCGTGGTGAGAGCACGCGTTCCCGGTAATAACAGTCCGGGTTCGAAGCGCTACGGTCGTTTGACGTTTATGGGCCTCCTGACAGGTAGGTATAGTTGCGGTTGGTGGTAGGCCGTAGCCAGGCGAAGTCAGTGAAGGGACCGGCCGTGCACGGCTATGTGCGCACGTTAAACTTTGGACTCTAAATTCTGCCATAGAACCGGAATTGCACGATCGGAGGGTAGAGGGCAGGGTGGTCAGGCAGGACTACTCCAAAAGTGCATACCTAGATACTTTTACAAGGCCCATTTATGGCACATTCTGATGTTAATTAACTTGCCTAACCCAATGCGACACTCAGAAAACACTTTGAGAACATTTTTGAATAAGGATTCAATTGAGTACTGAAACAAGCCTCAAATGTGTCTGATTTTAAAAAAACGGTTTCAGTAAGGCTTCCTTTTAGGGTTCATGTACTTTTAGCCCGAATACTGGATTCAAGTGAGACCGAAATTGGGGATCGGGCTGAAAACTGGTTTCATAGTGAGACTAATTTGAAAAGCTTGACACCGATAATGGGTAGGGTAGTGTGGGGTAATTTGAACATATTTTTACGTCTTCTCCGTTGTACCAAATTCCAGTTCAACCCTTGATGAAGAAAAACTGTTTCAGTAGCGCAAGTGTCACTTGCTTTCACCATGCAAGCCTCATTTTTGGACGAGCCGAGCATACCTTGAATAGCATAGCCTCACTTCTCCACCAAGTCACGGTGTGTTCAAATTGCCCCACCGTGGGGTAATTTGAACATACTGCCTTTACCTGTCATAAAAGCGATAGTATCGCCAGCACCGATGTTGTTTGACCCATAAACAAATAGGCAGAACAATTCTAAACATACCTTCACTTGAAAAATCAACACAACAGCAAAAATAACAGTTGCAGAGTATCAATATCTGCACGCTGCACACCGGTCAGTTGACAGAATTCGCCCCTCTTCAATGAACAGAACGTCTATCATTTTTGTTCGATAAAAACTCTCCCAACCTTACTACATCTGTTAAAGTGGTGCCAATCGAAACCTGGACATTTGGAGTTCTGATTTTGTCCAATGTCCAATTCGGAATTGGTTGGACAAAGGTAGCAGACTGGACAACATTGGACGATGGCTTGCTACACTTCAGCGCTTTTTATAAAGTAATCGTGCATAGCATTGATTGGCGAATGGAAAGCTTGTTAAGCTCTCAATATAATGAACACTTTTCGGCTGGTAAAATTACATGATAAGCAATATAAATGACGGTTTTGAGTGTTGATAGCTGCATAATATTCGGACATATTTGGACAAATAGTTGACTTTAACATTTTTGGACGGAAAATCAACGAAAATGCCGGACATTAGACGGATATTAGACGTAAATTTTCTAAAACTGGCATCACTTATCTGCTACTGCTTTGGTTCGAAAATATTGGCAAAAAAACTGGGAGCGTTGTTTTTTTTCGGAGGTATCCCTGTCTTCATTGAAATTCTCACACTATGTTCAAATTACCCCACGCTAAAAGTTATTTTGCCATTTTGAAAAACAGGGTTCAAAAGCAAATTTTTTGGATTGAAGGCACTGATTAGGTCATTATACAACAAAAGCCGTTGCGTATTAGGCGCTAGCAATGCAAGATTTTGCGCTGCAATGAAGTTGCAATGACGTGTTGTTAGGCGTTTTTCCTTGCGAAATTGATTTTTTACACTGTGCGTCAACATCTTCATTCCCTGAAACTTCAAACCCCGTTCATATGATAGCCCTTTTAGTTACGATAATTTCTCTCATTGGTCTTATTGTCATGCCACTTATGGATTTTCCGTAATTTTGTGTTATTCACACTATGTTCAAATTGCCCCACATGTTCAAATTACCCCACCCTACCCTACTGACTGAGATCTGTTTCTGCGATCAATGGCGTTGCTCAGAAAGTATTCTCAAAATGTGTGGTCTGTTTTGAATAGGGGACATTAGCCCGAAAACTGGTCTCTGAGACCGAAAATGGAGACACTGTTTTCTCAGTGGAGAAGGTGTTTTAATGAAATGTAAAGCTTCCCACAACATACAGCGGCGGAACGGGAAGGGCACCGGGGCACCGTGCCCCACCCACTTTGATTTGGGCATTTTAACATTAGCCCTATGGGTGTTGCATGGAAAGGATGGGACCAAAAGTCGGCAGTGCTCCCCCCCCCCCTAATTGAAGGCGTTCCGCCGCTACTGTTCTATAACAACAGCATATTCGAGTTCCTTTCTAAAACGCTTAAGAAAGCCATGTTTCCTGGGATAGCCCGGCATTAACTTAGCCTCAGTGTAGCCTTTTGTACTATCTCTCAACATTTTTGGAGACAATTTAACTTTTGCATGAAACTTACAAATTTTGAGCTCTCTTCGGAATGCTGTTGTTGGACTATAAAGGTGGATATTTCCTTCCGGATCTGTCTTGTTTGCAGCGGCATCGGGATGCGTTCGGCGTGTCGGGAGGGCTGCTCTCCCCCCGTGCGCAGCTCTACGAAGGGCGCCGTCGACAAAACCGATGGGCGATGGGCGGCGTGCGCTGCCGCCGCCGCCGCCGGCAGCGCACGTCGCCGGGCGCTCAGAGACGCTGCGCGAGCCGGGACGTCATTCTACTGGCAGCGTCGGCACGGTGCAGTCATGAAGGTACTCGCTCTCATCACCGTGCTCAGCGTGCTGGGGGCCGGCCAGGCCATCAAGTGCTACTCCTGCATCGGCAA